GGCTGCTCTCACTGTGTGCCACTCACGGCCTGACGATCACGAACTTTCAGCTTGCACCGTGTGCGGGAGACATAGCAACTTGGACCCACCCACGGAGGGGTCACGCTCACCTGCTCGACTATGTTATCGTACGTCAACGTGATATATATATATATATATATATATATATATATATATAGTATTCTGGAAATTCCCCCGGTTGGCCTGTGTATAACTGTAACCAAAACCAATATTTGCTTTTACACTTAGGCGATTAGTGTTGATTGTTGACTTTTATGTTTAGTTCGATTGGTAGAGTAGAAGTACCACTATCTGTTCTTAGTGCTTGTTCGGTTTGCGACTGTTGTGTACTGCGCATTCTCATTCCCCTAGCTGGCAGGGTCATCGGTGTCGTTTTCATAGCTAGGATGATAGGGAATCTTTTACTGCACAAATAAAAGGTTCCCTGTAACTTGAGATGCCTTCTGAACAGCTATCTGGGCAATAGATATACATGTCAGAATCAATTCTTTCAAACTTGTTAAGGGTTTACTCAAATGAATATTTTGAATGAATCAGCCGACTTGGTGGTGTGACCCATGTTCACTTAGTTGCATAAGTATTCTATCATTTCTAGCAACGGTACGCTTAAGAATAAGAAGAATACATCGTGAGGACACTCACTTTGCCTCTAGATTGCCGTCCTTAAGGCTTTATACGAATATAAACTTATCACGAATACTATGCTGAGTAATTCGTTTCATTATTGGTTCCAAGATCTTTGCGAGGCGCTTCGGTAGGTTGGTATGCTGAGTTTATCATGAGCAATATTACACGTAGATATGCATCTTTCATGTGAACTTTAGGGAGTCCATACATTCTCCGGGTAGATGTTCCGAATGGTTACTAACTTTCGAACAGACGACCAGGCACTTAACCGAGGGTAGACAGATCTTTCAAGTACTTTGGCAGGTCTTGTTCCGTTTTGTCCGTTTGGTCATTCTCACTCTGCTTTACCGAAAACTGTGCTTTTGCCTTACGGAATTTGCTTTACTCCGGCATTCTAATCACTTCTATCCACTATGACTATGCCACCCTTTCATCCAGCCTGCAGATGGCTATTTATTTGTTCTTTTTCACTCATTCATGGCCACTAACTGTTTACGTGCAATCAGGTCACGTTGATTTGCCTGCTATTTCTTTATTGTTAACAAAAATTAAGCAACGATAACTTGCAACCCACAATAGCATCAGTTGATGGCGCTGCTTAATCATGTGCTTGTGCTAACACGTTTTCGAATTGTTCCGATTAGTGACGTTTAAGAGAACAGCATTTCAATCCGATTGACAATGTTGCAAACAGTTCAAGCGAAAGGGCCGATTTCGAATAACTCTGGTCATACTGTTGAGGAAGGGTTGGGATTTCATGTGGCTAAATGACAATGCCGAATCATCAGGCTTTTTCTGCACTCTGCTGTGACCTGTTGAACATAATTCACCAACTGGAGTGAGTGCATCAACAGTGGATTATCTTTGGGCGATGTTCCGTTGAGTTTCATGAATTGTTACTGTAAATAATATCACGCTGGTAAAGCGCGTGACAACAGAGAGTTTTAAAGTTCGGAGAAATACGATTTTAATGAAGGTATTTCTAAAATTCTGGTGAGTATTCACAAGTACTCATAAAATCATTCAGAAACCGAGTAACTGTTAGCTTCAGCAAGCCGTGTGGAAACTTTATTTCAAATCTTATAGTTACGCTTGAACGATCTGACGCGTGACCTATGGAACGGACTTCCGATAATTGCTCACGTGGGGTGTAATGCACTAACGTTGTTGTTTTAACCCGTCAATTTCCGTCAACTTAGTGGTGATTTTCCAATTGAGTAGCAGCAGTTGCTAATCCTCCTACTTCTGGTCATTTGTCTTTAAACTTCAAGACTCAGGCAAGTTGATAAATTGGTGCTTTCGCAAGCTTACCTATTGGAAAGCAACTAGATGCATTCCGCGAGTTTGGTCATCCGGTCTGCTAAGTGGCGTTGGTAATGTAAACAGACGGAACCATAAGCGAAAGCTACGCGTTCACCATCTATGACCTCCATCAAAATATATCGTTTAGAACGATGTCGTTTTTTTCACTGATATGCGGCGCTATGACTTGGCCCCTTTGTCAAAAGAAATACTAAAATTTAGTCGCTTTGAGTGTAAATAACTCTGTACCGCGGCTCATAACTAGTCAGACCACTACATGAAGAACCCATTGACGCATTAATGATTTTACACGCCGCTAGACTGGGCGCCGTTGCGCGCTGTGTGCCGACATGCAAGGTTCCGGTGATCGGAATATATTTCCAATACGCAGATGAAAAAAGTGGACAGAAGATGAACTGCTCCTAGAGCAAAAATTATTGAGATCTTATTTGCGTTACCTTTTTGGGTTAGAGTCCTAGCCATTTGAACAACCACTAAAGTTGCCCTGGGTCCACTTTTGTTGATTGCATCCTAGTAGTGTCTTTCTTCTCCTTCACGACCCAGCAATTTTCCATACGATTGACAGAGGCAGTACAAAATGAAACGCCTGATTTCACTCCCTATCCGTCATCTAATTTATTGACAGTCATTCACTCCGCAGCAACTCCTGTTTTGAAACTGTGTTGTCGGGTCCAAAGGACACGCGTCCTTCATCATCGACCCTCTTTCAAGCAGGACGATCCTTTTTTAAGCTGGATTGCCAACTTTCTACTTCAACGTCACTTGATGGTCAGAGTTCGGAGCTCTTTATCGGACCCGTAAAAGTCGCGTGTGGTGTTCCGCAAGGCTCAATATCAGGTCCATGTTTGTTGTTGCAGTTTATTAATGACTTTGCAAAGGGGACCACTTCAAACTTCCTAGTGTTGGCCAATGATATCAAGGTTTGGAGCAGAATCCAGGTGAACGCAGACCAGCATCTGCTTTAGGGTGACCTAGATACGGTATAGCAATCGTTAACCCAAAATGTGTTGTATTTCTACGTCAGTAAATGCAACGTACTTTCTACCCCACATCAGTGGCTGGCTTGCCGAACTACCTCCTCGTGGTGCCAGCTGCTTGGTCCTGGATTATCCCGTTCCAGCGAACGGCTCGGCAGCAGTGTTCCAGGACGTGGTGGGTTTTCGCCTGGCAAGCACTCTCCCTATAAAATGTCACATATGCGTTTAACAACACTGCGACGTGGCGGATGTGACTCGCCACAAAAAAAGACGCACTACCCCTTGCTTCACCTCTCTGGACCATTGTAATCTTTCAGCTGGACGCTGAATTACTGGGATTATTGAGTTTCTGTTTGACATCCCGACAAAAGAAAGGCGTATGAACCGAGCAATCAGTCACCGGCTCCCAATGGGCGCGATTCCCCGAATTCGCCCCGCTGCTTTGCGGGTCAGGTCCTTAAGATCAAAGGCTCTGGGTGGGGCCCCCTAAGTCAACCCCCTTCCTCGGCCTTGGCAACCGGGAGACTGTATGCCCAAACAAAATGTGGCACCCAGCCAATTATATTGTAATGGGTATAGTGTTGAATATATATATTATATATATCCGACATCAAAACATCTACTCATACCGGCTCAGAACGAATTTACTGCCAAAATCTACTGTCGAAGGTGACTTGGGTGTCCTGGTTCAAGATGACTTGGGTTGCTCCAGGCAATCCGAAAAGGCCTCGAAGACTGAGAATCAGGCTGTCAGGCTGCTGCAATCGATGTTTGGACAGATAAACAGCTCCATATTTCGACAAAGGCTCAGTGCATATGTTCGCCCCCGTGTTGAATACTCAATTCAAGCCTGGCATCCATGGTTGAAACACTGCCTTAATACACTGGAGCAGCCGCAACGTCGGGCATCGTGGAACGTAGTTGGAATGCACCATCTTTCATCCTAGGTGAGGCTGCAACAATTGGGTGTATTCAGTGGAAGCTATCGCAGACTAGGAGGCGACCTGATTATGGCATACTTGATTCTGCGAGACCCACATCATGTGTGCCGCCCTTTACTGCAACTCAGGACCAATGCAAACCTGAGGGGTCACTCACTGAAACGCGAAGAACAGTATAGCGGTTTGGAGTGCCACAGAAATTTCTTTTCTACTAGTGTCTGTCTCTGGTGGAATGTTCTCCCAGAATCGGTTGTCACCGCTCAGAGACTAACAGTATTTAAAAGAGGGTTGGATTTGCATTCATCTACTTACACTTTGGGACAGCGCAACTTCTGGAGTGCTCTTGGATTTATTTGGTTACAGTGGGTGCTGTGAATCCAAGAGGATTGCAGAACCATCGCGGAGCAAGCGATAAGCTTCTTTTCATATTTAAAGTATCTTTAGTATGTTGATATCCGCACCAACTATTCAACGGGACTTGTAAAGCAATGCTTCTTAATCCGTATACATTCCTTGTTCATTGTTCCTCTAACAAGTCGTGCTTATCAATGCACACTTTAATAAACTAGGATCGCCTAAGCACTTTCTGGGACTTCATGGACCGACTGGAATAACTTTAACATATTATAGCCTCTCCGGATTATCCAAATATTTTCATCGAACATTGTCACGGACCTTCAGATAAAGGAAGCACTATACTACGGAGAATTGTAATGCTGTTGAACAGTAAATTTGCCCTTGACCACATGAGTGACTTACAGCAGAATGCACTAGAATAGCGGGCCCTCCCACTGTGATTCGTATCGGCCAGTGTTACATTCGTCTTGCTCTCTTGGTTGTCAGTTTGGCCCACTCGAAATTTATGTCGTTGGGTTTACCTTCTCCGTAACGGTAGCTTTGTATGAGACAGAGCGTCTTATACAAGCATTTTTACCTCGTGAACACACAGACACCCAAGCGGACTGTTTTATTGTGACAACTACCGTATCCAGGAAAATAGTGAAGAATAGGGATAGGATTGGAACGGTGGTGAGCTGTATCTTGATTTGGACGTACGATAAAAAGGCGCTGTAAATGGGAGCACTCCAAGGAGCACCACTCAAAGATAACTTTCGAAGCATCAGATGTATTTCAAGGTGAATGTGAGCAAATGAAAATTACCGGGCAGGATCTTTCCATTTATTGCAAATTATGTGGAGTCAGAAAAGAAAAGCAGTTCCAAAACTTTCAGCAAGGGATGGAAAAATTTAAACATCTTTATCATGTATCACAGGAAGCCGACAAGCGGTAACCCACAGAACTCGCATATGCATCCCATTACTGCCTTGTTATACTACACTGGTAATAAAAATAGATACAGTAGTTTTCTGTAACTCAGAAGCGCAGACATCATGAGCGATCGATGTCATAAGGAGGTAAAATTCGTTTTCTACAAGTCCGTGGGCCAACAACTTGTTCGGAAGGCATTCGACCAATATACGTATGTTCATCAAAGCGATGCAGATTGTACAGTCGGTTTGAGACATCGGAAGAACGGAGCAACTGGGCAACCTGTTCAGTCAGATGAACAACATTCTAAAACAGAAATTGTAAATGTAGTGCTTGATGGCTATAAATAGTTGAGCACCACGATGCCGATGGTTGTACAGCCAGTTACGTAGACTCAGCATGTCAGAGAAAGACAACATTATCACTTCTTAAGGCTGCACAATCGACTACGGTGCAAAATCGAACAATCATTTCATGAGCCAAAACAACCGAGAGTTCACTGTAAGAATGCATTACATCAAGAAAATTTACAGAAAGTTTACTTTAGTAGGTGCATGCTTAGTGCCTAACAGTGAGCGTCGCTGGATAGCGAATGGGGTCCCAGCATCTGTTGGCTACACCAAAACGGCCAGCACAATCTGAAACTGGGTATCAGTGAGTTGCATAACTAAGCTTTCCCCATCAAATGAAATGGTCACTTACTGCTGTCTGAGGGGCTGCATGTGAATAGTCGTTGTGACTTACTGAAATAAATCTATCTTGTCTGTTGTTCTCCATACTCCTAGCCGAGTTTTTGCGTGTTGATCGAACAATTTTCTGGGCCGCGTTGTATTGTAGCATACACATAAGGTTAACTAACCGGCACTTGCCTGCGAGTAGCTTAACCTCTGTAGTATCGACTGATTCCCAAAACATGAATGTAACGTGCGTAGTGTGCCCATCTATGCAAGGAGACGATGATAATGTATTACATGTTGAATCCCCGAATGTTACGATGGTCTCATTAAAACCATGAAATTGATCAGCTGGGGCTTTTGTTGCATGGCCAAGCTGTGTTGCTGGATGGATTCAGTCAGCACTTCTGCCTGAACCCTACTCAAATGCCCACATTTGTACCAACTAAGGTAAAGGTAGGTCAAATTACCCGTTAAGCCGGCTCTGACCATCTAAAAACCAAGCTTGATGTGTTTATTAGTCTTCAGTCTCCGTGGTAGGTCGATCAGATGTCAGTGCGATATCGACATGGTTCATTCAGTTGGTTAATAGCGCCCCTTATTTCGGAAGCCTTTACACATGCTGAATGACTGCTGCTTAAGGTTGTTTCAAATCGAATGGGAATAAGACATCTTACCCGACGACTGCGTAACAATCGCTTCAGATCCGTAGCCAAGGCATCCCGCTCTTCCGTAACACACTGATGAGTTTGATTGAGCATTAACAATCGATGCTCCGTGCCAGATAGCTTCTTCCGGAGTTGCCGCATCTGGCATTCTCTTCGTGCCAAAGTAGCAACCAGATAATCGCGTGGCTGGCCGGACAGTGCGATTAAGTTCGACAGCGTTGAAATCTGTTCCTTAGCCACCTTCGAAAAAGCGTAAAGCACGGCAAGCACTGAATGACAGTGCAAAGAGCATAGCAACCTCTCCCCTTCTCTAGACGTTGTACAAAATAAAAAATAACACAGTGGGTGTCAAACAACAGCCGATGCAGTTAAAAAGAGGCAGAGACAAACGGTACTGTTTGTCAGGCATGGTGTTTCGGATCTTATGGCATTAAAATTGGGGTCAGAAGAATAAGGGATATAAATTCATCAGTTAAATTAGAAAGCAACCTGTTGGAGTTTGGACGGTCACTCAAATCCAGAAAAGTGCCGCAAACGTGCAACCATCAACGAAAAGCTCTTATTGATCAGTCGCATATTCACACCAAAGGTATATCCACATCCATTATATTTCCTGGATTGGTTAGTCAATCAAAACCGGTTTATTACACCTTTCGCAAGGGACAGTGGATGCACATAAGTCAGAATATTCCTAAACCCTTCTCCTCTCCCATAGCAGTACATCTTGCAGCTTTTTTCCATTGCTTACTGAAATTCCATAAAGTAAGTCCCATCTGAGTGGAAAAAGGAAATAAGTACACGGAAATTTAAAGAAGGTAAACGATCGGACCCTACCACTTACCAACCTTATTATGCTAGTTCCTGTTTCACTGGAATTAATGGAAGCGATAATCGCAGAAGAAATGACGCGATAGTTTTAAAGTCTTCAAGTCCCTTCCAATTTCCAAATTAGTTTCAGACGCAGATCATCTTGTCTATCAAATCTGCATTTTGCTCGCGACTCATGGACCAAAGCGGCTGTTGAAGGAGTCCCCCCTAAGTGTGATTCACTTAAAATTTTCGAAGACGTTCAACAGGCAATCACTTAGTTCTTCTCCCAAACCTTGATGCCCACGGTATCATTGCTTCACTGCTCACCTAGTTAGAAGGTTGCCTACATGACAGAACGATCAAAGTCGGGATTACCGATCCCCAATCGGAAAGTCTGTGCGTCTCCAGTGGTGTACCGCGAGAATCTGTCCTCGGCCCTCTATTGTTTTTATTCTAAATCAATAAACCTGTTGCAATTATTTGTAGACCATGCTCAGATTTGGAAAGCAATCACTCAACATCCGACCGTGACTATCTGAAGAACGATGTGGACCGGATTAACCAATGAGCAAAAATGAACCAGCTCCCACTGAACCCTGTAAATTGCCACCAGATGTCGGTGCGCAACAGCTTCATGTACACAACTTTTGGGGGAACGGGTCCTGCAACAAGTGACCAGTGAAGGATACTTTGGTACCATAGACCAAGTAAGTCCGGGTACTTCACTTCAATGTTCGATGGTAGCAAATGTGGCAAACGTGAGCCTTGGGCCTTTGAGGCTAGCTAATGGCGTTTTCGTGTGACTGCTAGCACCCCTAAACTTTAACTTGTAGATTTGTCCCCATGTTGAGTATGCGGTTCAGGCTTGGTATCTATAGTTAAAACGAGACGTGCCTCTCTTGGAGTAGCCCCAAATAAGATCCACCAAGCAACACGTGGAATGTATGGATCCAACTAAAAAGGGCGCATTGGTTTAATCGGTGTGTTTTCCTCAGAACACCGACGGTTTCGTGGAGATCGCATTCTCACATACCGGATTCTAACTGAGAGCGAGGGCCCATATATATCACCGCTGACCCCAGTCCCTTACAAACAATGCCGATGCCACAACTTGAAACTAGTGGCGCAACACTCCCGTTTAGATTGTAGAAAGCATTTTTACTCTCTTAGTCTGTTTCCACTAAGAATCACTACAAACACATGTGGTGAATGTACTAAACCCCACGACATTCGAAAATTATTGGACTTATCTGAGTGAGAAACGCTGCACAACAGCCTGACAAAGTGCAGTGTCTAGACTACTGATATTTCATGTTTCACGCAGGAACACTTTGGTTTTAATTTTCTTTTATATCTTCTATGCCGTGGGTTATGTAAAGTTGTGCCTTTTATTCCCTCATACATTGTTGAACTATTGAGCCAAAGAGACGTAACGAGTCTACAGTAACAAGCATACATTGGATACGCTGAAGGCGCACGGTGTTGTCCTCAGCTAACTTCGTATGGTTCGCATCTCTCCCGCGTCGAATGACACACACACACACATGAAGGTAATGGCGCATCAATTGGCTACGCAGTCGAAATAAACCCTAACTTTGACTCAGACCATTACAATGCCTGTCACCCTATAGTTTCACTTGATTTTAAAATGTACAGTGCGTCAGCGGTATTACGTATGTGTCGGCAGATTTGAAAGGCACTGTCCTCTCCTCGTTTAACTCTCACACGATCTTCTCCCTTTAATGGTACCAACACCAGAGTATTGCTTGATCGGGCCTACCTTGAGGAGTTCGTGTCCAATCGGAAGCCGAACCTACAAGACAAAACGATTCATCAACTGAGTGTCCTAACTTGTCTTTCTTCGGCTGTACTCACCTCCACACACTCAAATTGCAAAGTAAGCAGACAGACAGAAGTGAACCACGTCTCAAACCTCATTCTTTCTCATCGTTTAGTCAACTTACGTTGCCGTCACGTGGACACCCTAGTACTTTCTTCCGGTAATGGGTTATTTTTGGTGATAAGCGGTAGTTCCGCATCAACCCAACCTACGAATCATTCCCGCAGTCAATCCGAATGTACTCTAAAATCCCATTGTTGGCATACCCCGATCAAATCGCGACTGACGTGGAGACGAATATCATGACACCAACAGACCTGGCTATTACGGACACATGAGGGTTTACAATGGATCAGTTGTGTATTACGGGTAAAAAGACAATCCTTAACAAGTCCCGTGGAATGGAGAGAATTAACAAACATGCCAATAAATGAAAAGCGGTTTGATGGGCACACCATAATGTTCGCACTGCGACACGCGTAAAGGAGCCGAGAGGTTTATATGATGAGATGCATAAATCAATCTGGTTAGCATGTCGGAAATAAAACGTTTGGTTACGCTATGTAGCCTCTTGGCTATCACACGACATAAGATGAAATGCGTATGGGACAGTGCGTCGACAAGTCATTTTGTAAATATCGTTAGGTTGGAGGCAGAGACAACATAATTTGTGAGAGCGTTTCGCATCTGGCACACTCGAAAGGAGAAGAACTTTCGACGGCATTCTAGTCGGCCACAAGATATTGTCAGCTTTATGTGATAACCTTTTAGGATGTTGTCGTTGTCCAGTTCCAGTAGCGGAAGGCAAACCTACCTTAGATTCTTCAATGTCTAGTAAACTATTAGGAGGTCCCCAAGCAAGAGTCCATCTCGGCTGCAGTACATTCCCATGGAATTCAGTCTAATCTGGTGGAGCAGATGGAAGAGGCCCCTAACGTACTAGGATGCCTACGCTGCGTAGTCGCGACAGCAACGCGTTGTTACTTCTGCTATGCCTGGATAGCGTATTCCACTTGCGGTTGCACGTAAGAGCTAAGCATTTGTTGAACGACTGTGGGATCAAATCTATCGAATGCTTTGCGAATAAGTCCAACATGTTGATTACGAGTTCTTGACGCCATTTCTGATTGTTTCGAGGAACCGAGGTCATCCTGGACCAGTATCCCAAGGTCACGCTCATGAGCAGCCATCTGCAACTTGTGTGCTCAAAGTTTGTACACGCTCACCGATTGATGCCAAAGATGGATCATCATGCACTTGATTGTGTTAAACTGTAGTAGGTTCCGCGTCGATCAACCATGAACGCAATCCAGGTCAAGTCGGAGGAAAGCGTGATTTTCACTCTTTTAATCGCTCGCCATTTCTTAACTTAGTTGGCAAAAAACGGGAAATTTGGGGTGATAACTCTTTCCAAGTCGTTGAGAAACACCGGGAATAAGCGCGGTCCCAGCATAGATCCATGTGGAACACAGCATTCCATCTAAATTGGGTTGGAGAGTGATCCCCAAGCAAGCAAATGAAGCTATAAATGGAGAATAGAGCTCTTGATCCACCCAAGAGCAGGATCCCCGATTCTGTAGCTCTGTAGCCTGTGAAGTAGGGTGCAGTGATCCAGGAACTCAAGAGCTTTGGAAATGTCCAGGTAGGTAATGTCGATTCCGGCATCACTATCCGCCGCTTCTATCCAACTACCGCGTCCCATCAGCAGTTTGATGGTGCATGACTGGTGTTGTCGGAAACCATGCTTTTCCGATGCCAAGACGTCAAAGTTTTTCGACAGTCCACTGCAACCTCAGCGACAACTGCATCCATCACCTTCGAGAGCACAGGAGGGAGAGCCATTGCACGAAAATCACCCATAGAAATTGGTGTGCTGATGGCATGACTCCACATAATGAGGACTTGTTAACTGAAGCTTTTCTGGAATAACCGCGATAGGGGCTCAGCTTCCTTAGCGAATGTAGCCTTCAGTACCTTCGGACGAATGTTATGGGCTCCCAGAGAGCTATGACAGCGTAATGGGCGCAAGTTCTTTAGCACAGTTGCAGGGCTCAAGGTTACACCCGCAAACGCTAGAATCGGTAAAGTGGATGAGAGATGTGACAGGGACAGACTGTGAGTTGGAAAATCGAGGCACATTGTGGCCACAGAGTATTGGTTCGTTCGTCCGCGCTTTGTGCCCTAATATCTATTGTTAAAAGTAGGGGTGCCGTGCTTTAATATGCGAAAGTTTTTAACATGTCTGTGCAGTAGTTTGTGGTTCGCCAGAAACATTTTGGCTAAGCACTGTTGAGAAGTAAATTTGTCCTCACGGACAAGCGTGTTACGATGGTTGCGGTGGGTTTAGAATTGCTCCCAATTCTCTGAATCAGGATTAGCCTTGTAGGCATTCCATGCTGCATCCCTTATTGCCATGCATTTTCGAGTCCTGCTTTTGAGGATTGACTGCACTTTTGTGGAACGAATTGGCTTGATTTTGATGCTCTATCGACTATAACTCGGAGTCTTTCAATGAACTCTGTCCAAACGCTGTCAAGAGGATTGTTGTTACAGGACACCCAAGTGGATGCGTCAACGATTTCTTTTAGGA